GTGACCTATAAATTTTGATATGTGACCAACTAAATTTGAAATATGTGACCAAAGAAATAATTGTGACCTACAAAATTTTTGAACTGTGACCGTAAAATAATATGTGACCTATAAGAATTATTATCCGTGACTGAAAAATAATATGTGACTAACTAAATTGTGAATCCGTGACCATATTATATAAATCTGTGACTGTCACCGGAGCAGTCGCCTGAGAAGAGTGGTGGCCGAAAAGGTCGCCGAAATAGTCTCCGGAGCAGTAGGGGTGGTGGAGGTGGGGTGGATTAATTATATTATATTAGAATTAAATATTTAATAAATTTGTTTAATAAATTGTTAATTCATAAATAAAATTTAAAAAAAATTCGATTTTTGAAATGACACATACTTAACATCTTAAAAATGAAATTTTCCCCTTTATAATTTGCTAAACTTTTGGAAACTTTTTAGTAGAAAATCTCAAAACAAATCTCTCATTCTACCGTGAGATTTGTCAAGAGCTGACCATTTTATTCTCTTTTGGATACAATTAAGTTTTTTTTTGGTATTTTGATTATTTGTTAATACATTTTATGTGACTTGAAAAAAAAAATTAATTTTTTTTTTATTTTACACGAGAAATTTGATTTATTGTTTTGCATTTTCAATTATACGAGTTATGAATGATTCTGACATATAAGAAATCGTTTAAAATATTACATTATATATGTTTAATATTTTATTTAAAATATAAAAGTCTTTCAAAGTCGCTAAAAGTCTCTAATTAAAGTCTACATACTTGTTTGACATTCATTTTTTCTCATTCTCATTTTTTTTTCTTTTTCTTCATTTCAACCAAACATTTTATCAATAAAATGATATTACACATAAATCCAAAAATTCTTCTTATTTTTTAACCACACATTCTTCTATCAATCACTATTTTAAATCAAATTTTTCTTTAAAAATGAATTTCAAACCAGGGCTACGAAATTGAAGACTTTTATTAATTCTTACCAAATTCACAAAAATCACGTTAAAGTCCACAAAATCCACAAAATCACTCACTTAAAAAAGTTTCAAAAAATCTTTAAAATTCTGTTGAATACACCCTCCCTTACACTCTGCGAACGGCATTTGAAGTACCCGGAAAGTGAAAAAACAGCAGAGTAAAGTTCTATTTTCCTTTTTGAAACGATTTACACCTCGAGAACTCCGAAACACATAAAAAGGAAAAGATTTACTGTTCCGTGAAGCACACGCGATTTCTTGATAGAGATTGAGGATTCTTGAAAAGGAGTAGATATTTCTTGCACGCGACTGAAGATTGTTGAAAGGTATGCTGATTTTTGTTGGTATTAAATTTACGATTGTTTTTTATGCTTCGTAGTTTTATAACTTGTTATAGTTTTAGGATAAATGGTTCTGAGAATTCTCGAAATGTGAGATCTTGAAGGAAGTTTCTGTTGAATTAATTTTTTCGATCTGTGAAGTGTAAATTTTCTGATGAGAAATTGGATCGTGGAAATGATTGTTGATTGTATTTGTAATTTCTGAACTAAGTTGATTTGTGCCAAAAAGAGAGATATTTTTGGTGTATCTGATTTGATTGCTTGGCCAGGATGGAAAGCAAGTTCTTCACTACTGAGTTGTCTGCAGAGGAGCTGGGTTATTGCTATCTGGGTTTTCATTTGTATCAAAAAAATAAAATCAAGAAAAACTTAATTAGGGAAGGTTCTTAAACCCTTCGCATTGTTGCATCTTGTAAGGGTATGTGACACTGACACTAAATATTATGTTGAGAAATTAACTGTTTCTTTGTTATTTGTTTCAAATATGGTTTACCGATTCCAATGCCGACACCCCTCAAATATTTTGATTTTCAGTGTATTGTAACATATTGTTGTGTAGATTCTCATGGAGTTTCATGCCTCTAATCGTTATGACACTGTTGGTATTTTTATGGAATTTGCCTAATTAGTATACTGGGAGTTCTTCCGTTGTTCTTAGGCTAGGCTAACTGGATGTTTGTGTTTTGGACGACAAATGTTATGCAATTGAGGAGGATGACTGAAGATTTGTCCTTTCGCAGAAATACTATGAAGCAAGTTACGAGAAAGAGAAAGTCAAGGAGGAGGAAGGATGGATCTGAATCTGTAGCAAAAACACTTGCTAAGTGGAAGGAGTACAATAATGAAATCAATTCTCTGGAAAATGGAGGCAAACCAATAGTGCATAAAGTTTTAGCTAAGGGATCAATGAAAGGATGTATGAAGGGTAAAGGAGGTCCTGATAATGCTCATTGCATATACAGAGGTGTTAGGCAGAGGACGTGGAGGTAAATGGGTCGCTGAGATTAGGGAGCCACACAGGGGAAGTAGGTTGTGGTTGGGTACATTCAACACTGGAATTGAAGCTGCTCTTGCTTATGATGAAGCTGCCAGAGCAATGTATGGTCCACGAGCACGGCATAACTTTCCAAACTGCTGTCCAAAATTCAACCTCGGTTGTACAACTAGCATAGCGTTTCGAGAACATGCTCGATTTAGGGGGGTGTATTCAATAAAGACTTTTGGAGAATTAAAAAGTTTAGGTGTATTCAATTGAGACTTTTAAAAATTCTCTAAAAGTTTAGGTGTATTCAATAGAAACTTTTAAAAAGTCTTTAAAAGTTTTGGGGTATTCAATTGAAAATTTTTACCTCACCCTCCCGTCTCTCTCATTGGGAGCACGCCGTTGCCAGAGCACCACTTCCAGCGAGTTGCAGCAGTGAAATGAAGTGGCAGTGTTTCTGCATCACGGTGGTCTGGAGGCGACGACGCTCTAGAGGGGGTGTGGCAGTGTTTCTCCTTGTGAATCTGCTTCGCTAATCTCGATTAAAACACTGCTCAGATCTACCCACACCGTCAGACGCCGATCTAGAGGCTAAGGTGGTTGTTGTTGTTGTGTTGTGCAGGCGACGACGGCGGTGGTGGTCGTCATTTTTTTGTAGGTGGTTATCGTGTCGGGATGCAGGTGGCGACGATGATGGTTTTGTAGTTGAAGATGTGGTTTGTTTGTTGTTGGTATGTTTGGTGGTGATGGTTTCTGGTGGCAGTGGAGGTGGTTGGTGGTGGCGGTATCGGTATCGGTATCGTTGGTGGTGACGTCGTCGGCCACCGTGTGAGGGTGGTCTCAAGTGGCTGTGGAGATATTGGAGGTGATGGTGGTATGTGACTCATTAGTTGACATGTGATCAGTCACCGTGACTCTTAAAATTGGATAATTTGTGACCTTAAAATTTGAATTGTGACTCACAATTGATTAAGTTGTCATCGAAAAATTAATCTGTAGCCTATAAATTTTTTGATTTGTGATCGAGAAATAAGTTGTGACCAATAATTTGATAAAACGTGACCAATGAAATAAACCGTGACCTATAAATTTTTTGAATTGTGACCTACAAATTTTTTGATTTGTGACCTCGAAATAATTTGTGACCTACAAATTTTTTGATCCGTAACCGATAAACAAATTGTGACCTATAAAAGTTTTGAGCAGTGACCGTAAAATAATTTGTGACGTAAAAAATTATGATTTGTGATTGAAAAATAATATGTGACTAACTAAATTGTAAATCTGTGACCAAAATGTGACCGATGACTATAATAATACGTGACTCTTGATATGTGACCAACTAAATTTGAAATATGTGACCAAAGAAATAATTGTGACCTACAAAATTTTTGAACTGTGACCGTAAAATAATATGTGACCTATAAGAATTATTATCCGTGACTGAAAAATAATATGTGACTAACTAAATTGTGAATCTGTGACCATATTATATAAATCCGTGACGATCACCAGAATAGTCACCTAAGAATAGTGGTCGTCGGAACGGTCGTCGAAATAGTCTCCGGAGCAGTAGGGGTGGTGGAGATGGGATGGATTAATTATATTATATTAGAATTAAATATTTAATAAATTTATTTAATAATTTATTAATTCATAAATAAAATTTAAAAAAAATCCGATTTTTGAAATGACACATAACATCTTAAAAATGAAATTTTCCCCTTTATAATTTGCTAAACTTTTGGAGACTTTTTGGTAGAAAATATGAATAGAAAATCTCAAAACAAATCCCTCATTCTACCGTGAGATTTGTTAAAGCTGACCATTTTCTTCTCTTTCACATTCTAGGGTTTTCTCCTTCTCTTATTCTAATGCATTGAAGGTTACTATATCAACTAATATGTGAAATGATATTGTGAATGTTTGAATTATTTTTTTTTTGTTGAATATAACTAAATACAATTAATTTTTTTTTGTTAATTTGATTATTTGTTAATCCATTTAATGTGACTTGAAAAATGTTTTTTTTTTAATTTTATTTTACATGAGAAATTTGATTTATTGTTTTGCATTTTCAATTATACGAGTTATGAATGATTTGGACATATAAGAAATTGATTAAAATGTTACATTATATATGTTTAATATTTTATTTAAAATATAAAAGTCTTTCAAAGTTACTAAAAGTCTCTAATGAAAGTCTAAGTCCTTGTTTGACATTTATTTCTTCTCATTCTCATTTTTTTTCTCTTTCTTCATTTCAGCCAAACATTTTATCAATAAAATGATATTACACATAAATTCAAATGTTCTTCTTACTTTTTAACCACACATTCTTCTATCAATCACTATTCCAAATCAAATTTTTCTTTAAAAATGAATGTCAAACAAGGGCTACAAAATTGAAGACTTTTATTAATTCCTACCAAATTCACAAAAATCACTTGAAAGTCCATAAAATTCACAAAATCACTCACTTAAAAAAGTTTCAAAAAATCTTTAAAAGTCTGTTGAATACACCCTCCCTTACACTCTGCGGACAGCATTTGAAGTACCCGGAAAGTGAAAAAACAGCAGAGGAAAGTTCTATTTTCCTTTTTGAAACGATTTACACCTCGAGAACTCCGAAACACATAAAAAGGAAAAGATTTACTGTTCCGTGAAGCATACGCGATTTCTTGATAGAGATTGAGGATTCTTGAAAAGGAGTAGATATTTCTTGCACGTGACTGAAGATTGTTGAAAGGTATGCTGATTTTTGTTGGTATTAAATTTACAATTGTTTTTTATGCTTCGTACTTTTATAAATTGTTATGGTTTTAGGATAAATGGTTCTGAGAATTCTCGAAATGTGAGATCTTGAAGGAAGTTTCTGTTGAATTAATTTTTCGATCTGTGAAGTGTAAATTTTCTGATGAGAAATTGGATCGTGGAAATGATTGTTGATTGTATTTGTAATTTCTGAATTAAGTTGATTTGTGCCAAAAAGAGAGATATTTTTGGTGTATCTGATTTGATTGCTTGGCCAGGATGGAAAGCAAGTTCTTCACTACTGAGTTGTCTGCAGAGGAGCTGGGTTATTGTTATCTGGGTTTTCATTTGTATCAAAAAAATAAAATCAAGAAAAACTTAATTAGGGAAGGTTCTTAAACCCTTGGCATTGTTGCATCTTGTAAGGGTATGTGACACTGACACTGACACTAAATATTATGTTGAGAAATTAACTGTTTCTTTGTTATTTGTTTCAAATGTGGTTTACCGATTCCAATGCCGACACCCCTCAAATATTTTGATTTTCAGTGTATTGTAACATATTGTTGTGTACATTCTCATGGAGTTTCATGCCTCTAATCGTTATAACACTGTTGGTATTTTTATGGAATTTGCCTAATTATTATACTGGGAGTTCTTCCGTTGTTCTTAGGCTAGGCTAACTGGATGTTTGTGTGTTGGACCACAAATGTTATGCAATTGAGGAGGATGACTGAAGATTTGTCCTTTCGCAGAAATACTATGAAGCAAGTTGTTGATCAAGCTTCTAATGGGGCATTCCAACCAATGGATTATATGAGAAAGAGAAAGTCAAGGAGGAGGAAGGATGGATCTGAATCTGTAGCAAAAACACTTGCTAAGTGGAAGGAGTACAATAATGAAATCAATTCTCTGGAAAATGGAGACAAACCAATAGTGCATAAAGTTTTAGCTAAGGGATCAATGAAAGGATGTATGAAGGTTAAAGGAGGTCCTGATAATGCTCATTGCATATACAGAGGTGTTAGGCAGAGGACGTGGGGGTAAATGGGTCGCTGAGATTAGGGAGCCACACAGGGGAAGTAGGTTGTGGTTGGGTACATTCAACACTGGAATTGAAGCTGCTCTTGCTTATGATGAAGCTGCCAGAGCAATTTATGGTCCACGAGCACAGCTATTGAAAGGTTTGACGACAGGTTTTGAATCTACTGAAGAATCTTCTTTTCCAACGACATCCACATGCTACTCAAATTCGAGATTCTCTGAGAATTGTCTGGCCGATGGTACTGAATTTATGGTTGATACTCTGTGTAAAACATGATGATGGCGCCATGGTGAGTCTTGGACTGATAACAATATGCCTACAGCGTTCGGTGAGACTGGTACCCTAATGAGCATTTTGAAGGCAGAATTCATAAAGGAGGAAGTGAATGAAGAACCTATGAGATCACCGTTCATTGATGAGGATTGGTTCAAGAATATGAAGGAAGATCCTACCTATTATGGTTACGACGGTGTGGTTCCATTAGGGCATATGTTTGATGTGGATTGGTTGCTGAATGCTTTAGAGTCTGCACCTAGGCATGCTCTGGGGCCTCATATTGGTGAAGCAAGCCAAGCTAACCTTACGGATTTGTTGTACCAATTGCAGAACCCGGGCATAAAACTGCCCGGTAGCTCACCACACATAGGATGTACACCATCCGGACTTGATTATGGTTTTGATTTCTGAGAACCAGGGAAACAAGAAGATAATAGTTTCACACTTAATGATGTACTTATCAACATTGACGCAGACTTGACTGCTTAAGGTGTTGGGTTTTGGAGAAATATCAAGGACTCGTTGTGTAGCTTGCTTTGATATGGCGCTTTTTCTATTCTTTTTGGTGTTTTTTGGATCATTTTCGTCATTCCCATTTTTTTTAAAGTATATATCTCTCTCTTTTTTTCAACCACACATTTTTCAATAAAATAATTTTACACACAATCTAAAAAATTTTCCTTCATTTTTTTCATCAATCTACTATTCTAAGATGCATTCTACATAAAAAAAAAAGGCTCAAACAAGCATATATCTATTTGTAAATTTTAACTTGAAGAAGATATTAACTACAAGAAAAATAAATTTAAAGTCTCCATTTCAATTTATTTACAATCACATGTTTTCCACATTTATATCATCATATTAATTTATAATAAACTTAACACATTAAAAATATTGACACCACATTTAAAAAATTGTGCCAGATGTCAAGGTGGGAAGGGGTGTGGTGCAAAGGGAAGTATTCACCTAGCAAGATTGAATTTTTTTTTTTTTTTTGAGAGTGAAATTTGAGTGTACCACTAAATTCTAGTTTTCCCCTCTTCATCTCTAGGGCTTTTTCGATCGTGGCTAACGAGCCGTGGCAGCTATGTCAATGTATCTGCCTAAAGAAATAATTATTGAAATCCTCTTGAAATTACCTGTAAAATCCTTGATCCGCTTCACCACAGTGTGTAAATCATGGCACACCATCATCTCCGATTCCAAATTCATCTTCTCACACATTTCAAATGGTGAAAGCAAAGAAGACAACACACTCTTCTTACGGCGTTATATGGAAGACAAAGCAGAGCACTACACACTGCTTAAAGATGTTGAGGACCAAACATTAGGTCTCCAATCTTCCTTAGTACTAGATTTTCCCTTCAAATCCCCAATTGGGCATTTTCGAATAGTCGGCATCGCCAAGGGCTTGGTATGTTTATACCAGGAATTCTTTGCTGACCCTCCACATTCCATTATTTTATGGAACCCTTGCGTTCGAAAGCATATTGTTTTAACTCCCAACATTAATTCGGGAACGTTTGACAGTGTTGTTCTTGGATTTGGTGCCACCAGTTGCGATATCAAGATTGTCAGGTTGGTGTATCATAAAACTAAAGATTTTGCTTGCAAGGTTCCTGCAGAGGTCGAGATTTACTCGCTGAACTCGGGCACATGGCGAAGGGTGCACTTTAATGTTAGTTACATAATCAACGATTTTATGTGGTCCCAAGCTTTCATAGAAGGTAGTGTACACTGGATCGCCTTCAATTCCCTCAAGGACTCCAATCGGAGTAATAGTTTCTATAGTTTCATTGCTTCGTTACACATGGATGATGAGGTTTCTGGGAAGATACTGTTACCGGATGATTTAGCACAGGTATGTGCTACATATTTATCTATTACAGTTGTAGGGGGATCACTTGGTGTGATTAAGAATGATGATAGTGGGTCTTGGTGTGTTTGGATGATGAAAGAGTATGGAGTTATGAAGTCTTGGACTAAGTTATATAATATTGATTCTGTAGGAGGGATAAAATTCGTCATTGGGTTTAGGAAGAATGGTGAAGTTTTATTGGCCTCACAGGGGAAAGCGCTAGTTACTTATAATCCAGAGACTATGCTGTCTAAGGATATGGGAATCAGTGGCAAGGCAAGCTCATTTTATATTCATAAATACACGGAAAGCCTTGTTTTGCTTACAGGACAAAATGTTGTTGCAGACAAGCTATTGCTTCCAGCTGGTAAGTCAAGCCATATACTTCATGGAGACAAAAACATCGACGGAGGTAAAAGAAACTGGCTGACTAGCTTTGTAAATGGTCAACTCTTTGTTATCTTCTCTCCGATACTGATATAGTGACTATTATATGTTTTCTATATAAATCTTTCTGCAGATAAGCTAATGTATTTTGGTTGTGGAAATGCAAATGAGAAGTCTCTAGTTTGGAATATGAGCTCCATGATGTGAAATAAATCTTCTAATTCGTGCTTAAAAACTATGATCTAGTCTAGCATCCCTCTACATATATGTTCCACTCAATTTGAACGTCTAGCTTTTGGTTGTGTGAAAAGTTTTAAGAGATAATTTTTTCCCTTTCCTCATAAATTGATATACTCGGGCTAGATTTTCAGACCTCAACCTAAGTATAGATTGGTTTTGTGTGTGCAGCCAAGTTGGTGGTGGTTACAAAAATCTAGGAACTTTCTCCTTTCTCTCGGTGCTTATATATTTGTCCTAACTTTATCTACTCAAGCATTTTAGTTGGATTCTTCAAAATAAAACTTGTTATATTTCGACTTTAATTTCCCTTGGTACTTTTCTTTTAGTGGATAACTTTCTGCCTTGTAACAAGATCTGATTTCTTGTTTTATTTCTTTGTTTTTGATGGCTAAAGGCAATGACGTGCTTGAAAGTAAGGCAACAAAAGGAAAAAGAAAAATGTGAAGGAAGTACTTCGAAGGAGCATTTTCATACAGGATGTGAATACTTTCTGATATTGCTTTACATGTATATACTAATATTGCCTCCTGATTTACTTTCTGATCCTTTTCTCTTCAACATGAAACTTCTATTGTTCTTATCTTATTGTAGATTGTCGTATGAGATATAAAGCTGTGCGAAATGACGAAAATCAAGAGAATATTGGTGCTTTCGTTTGACTTCTTGTTCTTATCATGGGTTTTTGCGCAGTAACATGATCACTAGTTCACTTTCCTGACATTTTTTTGTGAAATTTCCTGTTGTCTTTGTGATAAGTGTGACTGAAGGGGTTTAAAGGTTGATTACCAAGATTTAAAGAAGACTGATCGAACTTTCCCTTTGTGTATCGCATTCTCTTCTTTACTAGTCTACGATGGGATTTTGAATTTCGAAAGATGGTTCCCTTTTTTCATTGTTTAGGTGCAGAATCCTTAGCGAAAGTGCAATTTTTATGCGTCAAAGTGAAACTAGTGAAGAAAGGCCTTTTTTTTAAAGGTCTTTCTTGACAGCTAAATAATTTTTTATTTTAATAATTTGCGTCTTTCAAGAATGAATTGTGTTGGAGCTGAGCTCGCATAATCATTATTAAACAATCAAATTCCATTTTTACGTGTTAGAATCTTTTTGAAATCTAGCCTAAATTATTTATGAAAAAATAATTAATGCTAATGTTGAACATTTTCGACAAGAGCTAAAGTACTTGTATGCTCCGTGTACGATAAGTTTGACATTCTATAATGTTTTAAAATCTGTATCATTGATTGTTTGAAGTTTTGTTAAAATTAATGTATAAAAAGTTGTTACCTCATAACAATGTCAAACTTGATGTACATGTAACAAAATTCTTTCGAAAATAACATTGGACACATTATACTGTATATTTTTGTTTACCATCATATAGGCCAACATTTTAATAATCGTCGTCGTTTTGTAACTTAGGTTGCACGCTGTAAGTCGTAATTGAGTATTTAATAACGAATATTACTATTCAAAATTCAAAATGAACAACATTTGAGAAGCTAACCAAATATTAATTGATTTATTTACATCTAAACAAATGCACGACTGAATTTTTAAAATAGAAACAAACGTATTAAAATGCTTAAAGCCGTTTTGAAAATGATTTTCAAATTATTTAACACTATCGTATAATTTTACACAGAGTAATATTTGATTTAAAATTCATTATCTTACATAGATAATTTTAATTTTAAAATAATACATGTGGCAACTTGAGGAAATTGGTGTTGACACAAGAATTTAAATTATTATTTCTTAAGTATGAAAAGGAAATGAGAAATGTGACATGATATGTGAAAATGCTGTCTATGAAAAAGTAGAATTAGAAACATTGACACTTTTCACTTTATATATTTTAGTGGCATTATATTTTTAATTTGTTGCACTAATTTCAATTGCATTCAAGGTCCTCAAGCTTTGTTTATTTTAACATTTATGTCTCTGATTTTTTTTCTTTGAATTTTTATCTTTATATTTCATCAATTAGCATTTCTTGCTATCGATGATGGTTTTCTGTCAAACTACTTCTTGATATTTTGAATTACACTACATCTCTCTCAACAAAACAATTCTTAATAAGAGTTTTTAGATATTTTGATCAAAACTTTTGTACAAATATTCACAAAGTCCCTTTCGAAATTACAATTTTATTAGAAGAAAGAAACTTTTAGGAAACTATTTTGAGTTTCCACATTGTTAAATATAGTTTTTGAGTACTCTCAATTTTAGGAATGTATATGAAACGGAAATGTCAATGTTTTTAAATATTTCCTTATAACCTAAATTACATGAGCTTTTATTACTATATGTCTTTAATATTTTAGGTGAAAGTAACGTTCGCACCTTCACCTGTAAGATACCGACTCACCTAATAGTCAAAAGTGATAGGTTGATTGCTACGAGGACCTTTACCAAGAAAATGACGATGGCATGAGTGATGCCTTGTCACAGTTGAACGCGTGCGGGATGTCAGAACAATACTCAAATTTGACGAGAACGCTCTGTAACAATTGCCGTAGTGGTTATTGCAATGTCTAAATTAAATTTACAGCTAAATCTTTGCTTATGTCGAACAAAGGACTGTTTACTAGTATAACTATCTTTAATATATTAGGTGAAAGTTACGTTGCACCCCCACATGCATGACCCTCACTCACCCACCCACATAATACAGCGCTAGGTGGGTTGTTGCAGAAGTTACTGCAGAGTCTAAAATAAATTTATAGCCCAATCTTTACTATGTTGAACAAATTATTCATAGACTTATTGTTACAATTAACTTTCTTTAATATTTTAGGTGGACATGACATTGCATCTCTCGACTTGTAAGACCTTGACTCACCCCACTCGCAAGAGTGTTATATGGGCCGATTGTTGTACGTGACTCTAAATTAGATTCATAGCTCGACTTTTACTTGCATAGAATAAATAACTCGTTCATTTAGTTTAACCATCTTTAATATTCTAGGTGAAAGTGATATTGCACCACCCACCTGCAAAGATCGTGATTCACCTACCTATTAGTCACTTGTCAAAGTGTTGGGCAGGTTGCCGTTTTTGATGCAATGTTTAAATTAAATTCATAATTCAATTTTTACTCATCATGTTCATCTGTAATAACTTAGATGAAAGTTACAACTGCCACCAGCAAGACCCTAACTCATCCACCGGCAAGAGGTCTAGGTGGGTTACCATAGTGGTTGTTGCATTGTCTAAATTAAATTCATAATTCAATATTTACTTGTGTTCAACAAAGGGTTAATTTCACAAATGGTCACTGAAATTACATGAAAATAACAAAACGGTCACTGAAGTTTCAAAATTTCAGAAATGATCACTGAAGTTTGAAATTTCTTTCACAAATGGTCACTGAATTTTCAGATTTTTTGGGCAAGTTTGAAGCAATTTTTCAACAACTTCCGACCACCAAAACCGTCGATTTCAGATACCGTTGGAAAGCCCACAATGTCCTTCTCAATTATCAAAAAAAATCTCCCCAAAATTCCAAGTGATTCGACCGGGATAAATTCACGAAGTCGGCACCCGAAAATTATGAAAATCTGCTCAGATTTTCAGATTTTTTTGGACGAGTTTGCGGCATTTTTTCGGCAACTTCCGACCATCAAAACCGCCAATTTCGGATACCGTTTGAAAGCCCACAATGTCCTCTTCAATTACCACCAAAAATCTTTCCAAAACTCCAAGTGATTCGGCCGGAATAAACCCACGAAGTCAGCTACCAAAAAAGTCCGAAAATCTGCCCAGTTTGGGTAGCTGACTTCGTGGGTTTATTCCGGCC